GGGAAAGGCCAGCTTGGCACGGAGGAGGAGCTGGACAACATCGACATGGCCATCAACGCTACGTCAAGGCCTCGCACGCCGTGGACGAGGAACAGCTGTCCTCCCCCGACAGCGAAGGAAGTAGGTCACCGTCTGCCCGCCTCACACCTTTAGCCCAAATACATAATTATATGGATAATGTATGCCCGCCTCACACCTTTAGCCCAAATACATAATTATATGGATAATGTATGCCAGCCTCACACCTTTAGCCCAAATACATAATTATATGGATAATGTATTGCCCACCTCACACCTTTAGCCCAAATATTATTATGCTCTCGTTTGTTTGTGATTTTTTCACCAATCTACCAGATTTACCAGTTTTTCATGAACTTAACTGTATAAATTTAGAAAATAGAAGGAACTCCCTTTTTAAAAATTGTAATATGTCAGACCATGAGATCCTTGGCCTGAACCATTGACGATATTCAATATTAACAATAGCAAAAAAAAGAAAAAGAAATAACTGGAATAAATGGGGCCAAAGATGAATGTACTATTTTTTTTTCTTTCTTTCTGTCGTTCCGTCAGCCTCGCTGGGTCTGCTTGAGTTCTCTCTACTTTACGACTCAGTCAACAACGCCCTCCACTGCACCATCACCAGGGCTAAGGTAAGGCAGAACATTACCTCCATGTGTCGCATGCAATCCACTTAAGTGTATGTGCATATTTATAATTATGTATTTATGTAGATACGTATTTATAATTATGTATTTATGTAGGTACGTATTTATAATTATATATTTATGTAGGTACATATTTATAATTATGTATTTATGTAGATACATATTTATAATTATGTATTTATGTAGGTATATGTTTGTTTGTCTTTGTAAACCAAAATGCCCTTCCGGGACAAATAAAAGTGTAATTTTTTTTTTTTAAATTATTATTATTATTTATTATTAATTTTGATGTTTTGTTGTTTTTAATTTCCATTTGTCAGTCAACTCGCTCGGATTTGCTGCCTGAGTTCCTATAAACTGAACTGAGTGGAAAAAGTAATTTACAGTAATCTCTATATATTATATTTCGGAACCACTTAACTTTTGAATTTGATAAAATTAACGGTGGTTCAGAATCATTTAAAGGCTGCACAGTTTCATTGAGGAGCCTGAAGTCACTGCAGTTTAATTTTCAGTTTTTCATTAGTTTCGTTTAGATCTAATCTTGGGAAAGTCCGTCTTCAAAGCGCCATTGTAAACAAGTGAGAGTTCCGTTCACAAGCAGTGCACTCTGGTCCCACAATGACTTGACGATCTATTGTTTTGAGTTCGTTCATCGAAAGGGGTACCCGGCTTGTTATTTATAAGTTCCTTTCCTCATGAATTTAAGGGGGCCGGGGGGACCGTCCTTGTTTGTGTTTTTTATTGTGAAGTGTGCTGACAAAATGAGTTACATCTCGGATTTAATCTTATGGAAATAGATACATCACGCTTATAGGTGAAGTTTTTACAATTTAGATATATGTATGAAATAATAAAAGGCATGTTATACTCCAAGCCTGTGGCATCAATAGAAAATCTACAGATTTGACCGTAGTGTTGATTTTGAGCCAATATCTGGATTTGTGGATTGCGAGAAGTAACTCATTTTGTCAGCACGCCTCACGCTGATCCGTCTGCGGACGTGGTTCCCTCTGTGACTTGACGTAACTTGGAGTTTTGTTTTTTCTCTTTGACTTGGAGTTTTGTTTGTTTTTTTCTCAGGGTCTGAAGGCGATGGACTCCAATGGTCTGTCCGACCCATACGTCAAACTTCATCTTTTGCCAGGCGCAAACAAGGTCAGTGGGTTGGGTGGTTGGCGGGTGCTCTGGTGTGGTTTGCTCCTCCTTTCCTATCAAACATCTGTCGTCCTTATCTCCGCTCCTTCTTTTTTATGTTTGTTACTCCCTTGTAACACCTCTAATCTTCGGCACTTATATGACTTTATTGTGTTGCAAGCGCCGTAAAACCTCTACTAAAATTTTTTTTTTTTTAACTCTACTAAAATTAAACCTCTAATTTCGGCGCTTGTATGGCCTAATTGTGTTGCAAGTGCCGTAAAATGCTTATCCAAAAAATAAAATGTCTCTTGTCTGTGTCCCCAGTCGACCAAACTGCGCACCAAGACGATACACAAGACCTTGAACCCAGAGTGGAACGAGTCGCTCACCTACTACGGGATCACGGAGGAGGACATGATCCGAAAAACTCTGAGGTTGGTTTGATTGTGACCTTGTCTTCTCTGGCCTTGTTCATCTACCGATTGGGGGGGTATTGACGGGGTTGGGTTTTTTGGGGGGAGGGGGGTGTTGGCTGAGTTTTTTTGGGGGGGTGTTGGCGGAGTAAGTAAAGAAGTAAGAGCAGCTATCGGCATTGAGTCCTGCATGCGTTACATAGAAAGACAGAGGATAAAATGGTTTGACCACCTGTTACGCATGTCACCTGACCAGCCAGCCCCGAGAGCCTACAACACCAAGCACTCAGGCTATAAAGGAAGAGGAAGGCCACTCCAAAGGTGGATCGAGGATGTCAAGGAAACCCTGAGAAAACATAATATCACAACTGAAAGAGCTGCAGAGCTGGCCTACCATAGAAAACTTCATCTCCGCTTAACGGCAACAGAGGATGAAAAAGTAAAAGTAAAGTAAAGTAAGTAAGTGGGTGGGGGGGTGTTGGCGGAGGTAGGTTTTTTTTAGGGGGGGTCTTTGCTTTTTGATGGGGGTTTTTTTTCCAGATTTTTGCTGTCTGTAACAACCGGCTCAACTTTTCCTCTTGTGTGTTCAGATTGTCGGTGTTGGACGAAGACGCGTTCGGCTTTGACTTTATCGGAGAGTTCCGACTGCCGCTGAAGCGAATCAAGCCCCATCAGACCAAGAACTTCAGCGTCTACTTGGAGAAGCAGCTGCCGGTGAGGCTTTTTTGGGGACGTGGTGTTTGTTGGAGAGTTTACCTCCTTCCTGCTTGTTACGGAATGTAGTTGTTGCTTGTCTTTTGTATGTTACACCTCTTTACCTCCGGATTTGGTTGTTTGTTGTTGTTTTTTTTGGGGGGGGGGGGGATTTGTCCCGTGTCCTGATTTTGGTGCCCGTATTTGTTGGTTGCATAAGAATGTATTGACATGGTGCAAATTGTTATGTTTTCTAGAGAAACGAAACAAGAGACAGGGGAACTGGTAATTAAGTCGGTGATGATGATGGTGACGGTGACGGTAGTGGTAATTGTTATGGTGATTGTGATGATGATTATTCATGGTGACGATGATGATGTTCTGATGTTGGAAATAATGTTCATATTAGTCTTACTGTTGAGTGTGTTTCATTTTGTTTTGTTTTGTTTGGTTTGGTGCTTACTCTAGTTCCCCGCCAGGCTGTCCTGGGGGGCAGGACACAACCCTCATTCCCAACTCCTCGCATAGAGAGACAAAAAATTTGGAAATAATTCGTCATCTTCGTCCCTAGCATTTAAAAAAAGTATGCCCAAAAATCACATGGGGGGGCCGCTTCTAAGTGATGACATTGTTAGTATGTTTGTTACCCTACGTCTATGCTATCATATTTTCAAAACAGTGAAAGGAATGTGGCCAATAATCTTTGTAATATTTATTTTCCAAGTCAATGCAGACTAACTTGTGTGATTACAATTTATCGCCATCGTCGCAACCAGTCCCGAGGCACTTCTGTGATCGTCGGAACAAGCATGTGGTTGTTGGTTGTCTATAGTATGTTACTCCTCTTTACCTCGGGATTTGGTTGTTTTTGTTTTTGTTTTTGTTACTTGGTTTGTTTTGGGTTGTTTTTGTTTGCTGTTTTTTTTTTGGGGGGGGGGGGGGGTTCTGTCTTTTCTCTAACTTTTTCACAACACCAAATGCTGCTTCTTTTTTCCTATCACACATCTATCGTCCCTATCTTCCCTCCTTCTTTTTATGTTTGTTACTCTCTTGTAACACCTCTAATCTTCTGGCACTCATATGACCTTATGCAGTTGCGAGCGCCGTAAAACCTCTACTAGAACTAAACTTTAAAAAACGAAAAAAACTAATGACCTTACTGTGTTGCAAGTGCCGTAAAACACTTACTAAAACTAACAAAAAATTTACCTCCCCCCCCTCCCCCAGATGGAGAAGGACGATGACCTGATCCAGATCCGCGGCAAGTTGCTTCTGTCTCTCCGCTACGCCACGGCCAAGCAGACACTGTTTGTGCGCGTCATGCGCTGTGCCGAGCTCGCCGCCATGGACTCCAACGGCTACAGCGACCCTTACGTCAAAGTGTGAGTGGCGGTTGTTTGTGTGGATCTGTTTTTATGATCTTGTGAATGAGTGGCGTTTGTGTGGATCTGTTTTTATGATCTTGTGAATGAGCGGCGTTTGTTTGTTGTGTGGATCTGTTTTTATGATCTTGTGAATGAGTGGCGTTTGTTTGTGTGGATCTGTTTTTATGATCTTGTGAATGAGTGGCGGTTGTGTGGATCTGTTTTTATGATCTTGTGAATGAGTGGCGTTTGTTTGTGTGGATCTGTTTTTATGATCTTGTGAATGAGTGGCGGTTGTGTGGATCTGTTTTTATGATCTTGTGAATGAGTGGCGTTTGTGTGGATCTGTTTTTATGATCTTGTGAATGAGCGGCGTTTGTTTGTTGTGTGGATCTGTTTTTATGATCTTGTGAATGAGTGGCGGTTGTGTGGATCTGTTTTTATGATCTTGTGAATGAGTGGCGTTTGTTTGTTGTGTGGATCTGTTTTTATGATCTTGTGAATGAGTGGCGTTTGTTTGTGTGGATCTGTTTTTATGATCTTGTGAATGAGTGGCGGTTGTGTGGATCTGTTTTTATGATCTTGTGAATGAGTGGCGTTTGTTTGTGTGGATCTGTTTTTATGATCTTGTGAATGAGTGGCGGTTGTGTGGATCTGTTTTTATGATCTTGTGAATGAGTGGCGTTTGTGTGGATCTGTTTTTATGATCTTGTGAATGAGTGGCGTTTGTGTGGATCTGTTTTTATGATCTTGTGAATGAGTGGCGTTTGTTTGTGTGGATCTGTTTTTATGATCTTGTGAATGAGTGGCGGTTGTGTGGATCTGTTTTTATGATCTTGTGAATGAGTGGCGTTTGTTGTGTGGATCTGTTTTTATGATCTTGTGAATGAGTGGCGTTTGTTGTGTGGATCTGTTTTTATGATCTTGTGAATGAGTGGCGGTTGTGTAGATCTGTTTTTATGATCTTGTGAATGAGTGGCGGTTGTTGTGTGGTCTGGGTTTTTTCCTTGTGAATAATGATAAAAATAATAATAATAATTATAATAATAATAATAAATGAATTTATAACTCGCTAGAATCCATAAAAAGTGCTCGGTGGGGTTTACAAAAACACACACACACACTCACACACTCACACACTCACACTCACACACTCACACACACACACACACACACACACACACACACACACACACACACCACAAAAGCTCTAAAGCTCGGTACCACTACGACATGCTTACATTTTTTTTTAACTAAAAAGGGAAAAAAACAACAAGAAAAACTGACGGATATTTCAGATTTAGAGTTCTGGCATTATAAAAATACTTTCCTGAAAAACATTGTCTTCAACTTTATTTAATTGATCAATTGAAAGAGACATTGAATGAGTGGCATTTGTGTGGGTCTAACCGCCCGGGGCGGTGCTACTGACTGAAGTGTCTTTAGGCCATTCCCAGAAGGGGGGGCAGACATTAGCATCTCGAGTTCTTATACACAGTAGAATTGTCAATGGGCTGATTAATCAATGTCATGCTTATAGCTGTGCCTGAACTGCAACAGGGAACAGCTGCTTTTTCTTTCCTAATCCTTACTATCGTCATTTTATCCTCTACTTGTTTTGTATGTTTGTCACACTCTTGTGACCTGCTAACAAACTGACTAATTGCTTCTTTCTGCCCACCGTCCCACTCCTCCTCCTCCCCTTACTGCAAACACATTCCCCTATACCCGTGCTCGCCTGTCTGGTAATCCGACGTCTTCCTCCATCCCTCAACCCCACCATCCCTCCATCCAGGTACCTGAAGCCAGACAAGGACAAGAAATCCAAATACAAGACCATGGTCAAGAAGAGGACCCTGAACCCAGAGTTTAACGAGGTGAGATTGCTAGCTTATTATATAATAATAATAATAATGATAATAGTATTATTATATCATAGGTGAGAGGTGAACAAGGCTGATATCTTAACCTTATCCGTACGTCGTGTTTTACTATCGTATCCATACGACGTGGGGAACTCTGTGCCACCACTTAACCCTATCCATATGTTGTGTTTTACTATCGTATCCATACGACGTGGGGAACTCTGTGCCACCACTTTCAAAGAGGAAATTTACTCGTTAATCCAATCTGTCCACTTTGCATAGCAGTCTGTCAAAATGTTTTTTGAGAAATACTGAAAGTTTCAAAGAGATCTTCGTACTAGAAGTATTCTACAATGTGAAGAATACAACCCCAAGGGTACAAAATGACCCCAGGGCGTACGAATAATTTATAGGGGAGAAGTGAATATGTTGACCACTAAAACTCCTTATATCTCTCCTCCTCCTTTTTTGTACTTATTACTCTTTTGTAACAACACCTCTAACCCACTGCACTTATGTGTGACCTATTTGTGTTGCAAGTGCTGTAAAACTCTTACTGAAACAAACCCAAAAAAGTGACATTGTGGGTGGTTGGCGAATGGTTTGGTGTGGTTTGCTTCTTCTTTCCTATGAAACATCTATCGACCTTATCTCCCCTTCTTTTTTTTTATGTTTGTTACTCTCTTGTGACACCGCTAATCTTCTAGCGCTCATATGACCTTATGCGGTTGCGAGTGCCGTAAATGGACTTACTTAAACTAAACTTTCTTGTAACACCTCTAATCCACAACACTTATGTGACCTAATTGTGTTGCAAGTGCTGTAAAACTCATCACTAAAACAAACCCCCCCAAAAAAGTGACACGCTGTGTGTTTGTTCCCAGGAGTTCCAGTACGAGATCCGCCACAACGAGCTGGCCAAGAAGACGCTGGAGATCACAGTCTGGGACAAAGACATCGGTCGTACAAACGACTTTATCGGTACGTCTCCCTGTCTCGTAATCCTCCGTCTTCCTACGTTTTTTTGGGGGGGGGGCTATTATTGCAATTATTAGTATTTTTACGCCCCTATGGACACGAAAGATCTTGTCAGTATGTTAGTGTTTTAGCACCTATAAATGGCTGCTTGCACTGTATGTTTCCCAGGAAGTTGAGTTTGTTTCAGAATGCTCTCATGTCTGCTGGGGTAATAGTATAGATTGTGAATCACATAGAGCTTGCTGTTGAGCAGGGATTTGCGCTATACAAATGCTATCTATCTATTATTATAATTATTATTATTATTTTTTTTTATTATTATTATTATTATAAGAGCATTTGTATCCCGCCTTTCCCCACAGCATGGGCCCAAGGCGTACATAGGAGATTAAAAACGCATTCATACTAACACCATACAAATTCATCATGTGAGCACATTTTGACAGCAACATTCTTTCAGACAATAAAAAATGCTCATACAAAAAGGCAAGGTACTGTCCATTAATCAAAATATTTCTTAAATAGATGTGTTTTGAGTCCCCTTTTGAAGGTATCAAGTTTTATTATTAACCACCTCCAGCCTGTGGGAGGGCCACTGGAGAAAACAGACGGGTAACAAACTCCACAACATTCAAACCAAACCGGGACCGCGAAATCCTGCGGACCTCTCCTGAAGAGACGACGTCATTTTTACTCGATTACGCATCGGACACACGGCCGTGACACACAAATACAGGGAGATGAGAAGCCGTTCGGATGCGACTCAGATTTTACCATTAGACACATTTTAACTGAATGTCTAGACTTCGGAGAGACCCGAAGGAAATACTTCAAAAGCACAAAATTACAAGATATTTTTTCCGTCGTTGTTCCCAACAGAATTTTAGATTTTATAAAGGCCATTGGACGTAATGGAAAGTTTAGAAACAGATTGTTCGAAAATTTTAAAGTGTTATTTAGAAAGTTGTTTTAAATTTATATTTAAATCTAAAGCCTATTTACACTCAATTTTAGCATATTAAAAATTTTAAAATAAAAATATTGACCAGTATCAAGCCGAGAAAATGAACCGTTGAGAAAAACCAACTTGCTTCATGTACTCATATGACCTATGCAGTTGTGAGCGCCGTAAAACCCCATACTAAATTAAGCTAAAACTATTATTAACCAATTCTATCTCCTCTCTCTCGTCTCAGGCGGCGTTCAGCTGGGCATCAACTCCAAGGGAGAGCGCCTCAAGCACTGGTTCGACACGCTGAAGAATCCCGACCGGGAATACCGCCGCTGGCACGTGCTCTCAGCGGAACTGACACCCGAGGTTTATACCTAGGCGTGCTGTGTCACCCCACACACACGCACACGCACGTCTCTTGTGCTAGATCTAGTGAGTGTTGTCCGCACGCTTGTAGTGACTCGTGTGTAGTAGCCCGCGTTGTTGCGCAGGTGGCGGCCGGTTTGTGTGATCCTGGACGCATTATTGCAAACTATAGGTGGGGGGGGCTCTCGTGGTCTAGAGGTACGGTGTTCGCCTCTCATACAATAGGTCCCAGGTTCGAAACCTGACAGTAACGTTAAAAAAAAATTTTTGAAGGGGGGGGGAGGGGGAATATTTTTTTTCTTTCATCTTTCCTGCTCTCTATTCCTGTTCTGTCATCTGCTTGCGTCTTCACTTTCTGCTCCCCTCACTCCCCTTTTCCCCCTCCTCTGGGCTCCTGACTCTTTCTGCAGCCTTTCTACTATTACTGCTAGCTCCTTTTAATTGCTGTCTTTTAACCACACCCTGATATTAGGGTAGGTAAGATCTAACACCTAACCCTCTCAAATAAGCAA